GTGGGATTCTTTTGGTACAAATGTCAAAATACAATTTAATGTTCGGTAAGACGTACTTATACATTTATAAATGGTACAACATATTTTAATTCAGAGGTTCATTAATATTAGAAATACTCAGTCCTGCACAATAGCTATTTAAATAGTAAATATACTTAAATAGCAGACGTGCTTGACACTTAAGTATCTTACCCACTCGTATTATACGATTTTATGCGCCCTCACTATTGTTACTGCATGGTTAGTGGTTACTCCTTACTACTACATTTAGTGTAAATAATAATTTAGGTTAAACCTTTATTTTGTAAAAATATTTATACTTAAAATACTAAATAAATTGCAATATTATTTATCGTTTGATATAATATTTTTATATTTATGAGTTTATGTGTAAATATTTGTAAATATTGTAATTATTATCTTAACTATACTCACCATATTGTCACCACATTGGCCCATTACTATAAATCCAATGTATCATCCCTATAAACACACCTTTAACATTGTAATGACTTTAACTAATTGCCTTAGATTCCGGGTATTATTGACATCAATAAAAAAAAGAAATTGTAATCGATATGTAATACATATAATATTAAATCAAATAACATTTACAATCAATATCAAGACTTTCTGTAAACATACACAGTTTATTTCTGATAATTTATCCTAAAAATTTCGACAAGTTTACGTTAAAGTATGACTTGAAAGAAACCCAGAACTGCAATATCCACCATGTGTTTTCATCAAATAGGTATAACACATTAACACTATAACATATGTTATAGATATCTGAAATTTTTCATTGGTTCAAAAATGTTAAAAAATAAGAATATATTATAATCTATTATATAAATATATATGTTGATCAAAATCGTATTCAATTTAACATCTTAAATTCTCGTGTTACTACTATTACTAGATACCTACACCGAGTTATATAGAAATTGCAATATTGCATATACATATTAAATAGAAAGGTATAGGTTACATATTGTAACACATATTAGTCTTGACTTAAGATAATGGTCGATGTCGTCTGGTATCCAGGGTGTTGGGAATAGTTAAAATTTATTTTAAGGTATTTCTAAGATTTCTAAGAGGATTGGTGCCTTTAAATTGGTTTTTATATTATAGCACGATAAATAACTTAAATGTGTAAGTACTTTTAATGTACTAAATAATTTAATATATTATATATTATCTACAATAGTATTCATGCATTTGATTCTGATTTTAGTATTAAAATATTTGCTTAATTTAAGACTGTACAAGTTATATAAATATTTTGTACTGGTGTTAGTTGAAATATAAATTAATAGTTATATTACATACATATACAATTATATAAAATAGTTGAATACTAGCTATAATTAATTATTCTTATAACTTTTTATAACGTCATTGAATTATACACGTGTTGTCAGAGATCGCATCAACACATAATATACCTATTTCAGTTCACTTTGTTATTAAAATTAAAATTAATAATTTATTATACTAATTTATCACAATAAATTCACAAAAAGAGTTAATAATTGTAATAAATTTATATAATTTATAAAAACATAATAAATTGCAGTAAAAGTCAATTATGAATTAGTAGTAAGTACCTATACGTACTTTATGATTTTTAATAATTATAATTTAATATGCTATTTATACCAGATCATTTTTTTCCAAAATTAACAAACTACAATAAATATGCAATATGAAGAAATAATTCTTCACGTTTCAAAAATAAAACAAGAGATTTGCATGATTTATTTAAAATATAACACTTTTTGTAGGTACTGATTACTGAATTATTATAATTAAAGACATATTAATATTATATAAGTACTCCTTAAATTAATAATAGGGTTTTTTTTTTAAAGTAAATAAAATAACAGACTTCAAGGTATATCCAATCAAACAAAAATCTTTTAAGTTTCGTACTGCACTTATTAAATTTTTAATTTTAGGCCTTAATCATTATTTTTAATTTAATTGTAGGGTAAAATATGTTTTGTTTTGAACAAATTATTTTAGAGTGTCGTGTTTCTATATAATAAGCATTTTCAGAAACGTGTATAATATTATACACTTTAGCTATATAATAATAATTATTATTATTATAATATCTGCTGGCCTTCTGTTGAATAAAATATTTGATCAAAGTGTACATATAATAATTCTTAGGTTATTTTTTATATACCCCAAGTGTGTATCTACATTATATTTAGGTTTGTCGATAATTTTATGATTTTTGTTTCAAAATAATAAATGCGAATGTCATTATTACATTTATCGTACAATAGTTGTTTAATATTTATAAGCAATCTCTTTCGGATCGATGTGGTGGATATTTTAAATTCTATCTCATCAAGTGGACGAGATCAATCAATGCCGATTGTATGGAAATTGCTTATTTCGCTTTTGCTTAAACGGGATCCAGTCATTAAAATGTCCAATAATCATTTTGCTAATATATTGCAGATGCACAATGTACATTGTACATTGCACATTTTATGATTTAATTATGTATTTATGTGAAATTTGCGCACCAGTACTAGAATACCTGTATAAATAACTAATTTTACGTATGCCGACTACTTCACAAGTTTATTATTAACCGCATTGATGTGAATTTATTCGTAATAGTAATAAATATCGAATGTCGGAATAGTGAGTGTATTATAATTTATAAATATCAATAAGATAAATAATTAGCTGAGTGAATAATAATTATTGTTACAATGCAATATTCCGCGTTAGATAATAAATTGCTATTATAATATATAGTAGCGCGATTCAAGTATTCAACAGCGAACATTTAACATCAAATGCCGCATAACAATAATAATTATCTATAAAGCGATGATTTATTAAAAATATGAATTAGGTGAAATGAAAATAGTATCGGAAAGAGAACGAATATTAAATAGTGCATAAATATTATTATGTAATATGATTGTTTGATTCAAACCACAGTGAGGTGAATCACGTAGAAAAGGGACATGCAGCCCCTCCCTCACAAATATATATTTGACCTTATAGAGTCGAAATATATTATAGTGCCCTAACGAGTGAGTCAACAATATATTGTAAAGAAATATGCGTGTGTCAATCGGAGAGTAATAGGCCATAAGCATATATATATAGGTAAAATCGAACTTGTTCTGAGTCCTGACGGATGACTGATCAGCTTAGAGTCTAAACCACGATAGCTCGAGACTAATAAAGTTTAGCGTTGGACTGCACACCCTATTCACCCAACAAACATTCTCCCGAAAAATCTCCGGTCTGGGGATTCGCCACTGAACTGTATATAATATGCGGATACAACATGACATTATCGTAACAGTAAATATTATTTATTTATTATTTATACGTAGGTATCGAATGATAATCGAGGTATACACGTTCGTGTTAAATCACGGTAAGTGTGGTGGTATAACAGTTGTGGTTATGATAACGGTGCGAATACAATAGAGACATATAGCTGCAGGATACGATGTACATCGACTACGATATAAAATTGTAAGTGTGCAAGAGACCGTCCGCGTCGGGGGAGCGAAAATATTACCACACAATATTATATGCTATGATGTATATTTGGCGGGCATTATACGCTCGCGGTTGTGACGACGATCGCTTGGGAAATCACCGCAAATTCAAGCACCCCTCCGCTGCAGCCTGTCGTTGACTATCCCCCCCCCGGACTGATAATAATGTCTGTGTGTGTGCAATACGTCATTCATTTGGGTTAATATTTTCGCGTGCCCACGTGGAGTTTATGATAATAATAATGCGGCACACCGTTCCGCACTCGAGGAATTCAAAGAGATCTCTCTGAATGGAGGACTGATTTCTTTCGATCCCGCGCGCCGCACGCTCGCGCTCGGATGCTCCGGAGGGATTCACTGTCGCTCGTTATTATATTAAGAAAACTACGACGACGACGACGACGAGGTAAACACACACGCGACGACGTCACAATAATGGCACGTAATACAATAATATATACCTATACACATACCGCTCACACGTTTATGTATATACCTACGTATATTATATTATGTACAAGTCGTATATATTTTATATTATATATACCTATCGGTATATAGGAATCCGCGCGTGCAGTTGCAGCAGGTTTCTCCGGTGTTTGCTTCGTATTGTGCAACCCTCTCGAGTCGTACAAATTTTTTTTTTCGTTTCCATTTTTTTTTTCTCAACCCCCCACACATCAAGGTATCGAAAAATTATAATGCGTATTTTTATACGCTTCGCATATAATATTATATTATTATTATAATAATATTATATACTCGCGCTGTCGTCGTTGTCGGGTTGCGGCGGCGTTCGCTCCGGGGCCCCACCCCCCCGAGCCGACCCTCGTTCCCCCCACCGCCGCACGGTCAACGGCGGTATCAGAGAAGACCACTGCCGCCGCCGCCACTCTTCTTCAGTCAGTACTCGCACGTCGCTGTAACCGTTTGCCTTGTGTTCCGAGCTCGTCTCTCACGAATTTCTTTTCGTCGCCGCATTTACGTGTTTTCCGCGCGCGTTTATTACCGCACAATACATCGGTTTATCGATATATTTTTTTTACGAGTGTGCAATTTTTTTTTTTTTTTACTAAAATTCGGGTTTCATTGGTTTGCAAAATCCGTTTTTTTTTTTTTAGCGTTTCGTGCAATCGTCTTCTCCGAATAAACACGGGCTCTGGTCGCGTCTTCTTAATACATAATATACCTACGGGAAAGTGAAAATTATTACCTCTTTGTCGGCATAGGCGTCCGTACACGATAATGTTCGAACCGGTGTCGGCGGTCGGACCCCGCTCGAATTTCCAGCAGATCACTTAACGTGAAAGCGGCGATTGCGTTTAGGAAACACACATAGGACGACACCCCACGACTTTGCAGGATCCGACTCCGACTCCGACTCAGCTGTCGCAGACGGTACCGAAAGGGAACACCACAACCACCATCACCACCATCCACGCACTTCAGTACATGGCGGCCGAACGACAGCAGACGTCTGCGGTCCGACGGGCGTCCGCGGTCGGCCGGTGGGCCGTGGCCGCGGCGCTTTGTCTGGCGGTCGCGGTGTACGCGTGGCACGCGCACTCAGCATTAGAGCACCGCGTGGCCACGCTGGAGGCCACCGTAGCGGCCATGCAGCAGCAGTTGTCGGCCGACTATCCGACGGCGGCCGGGGTCGCGATGGGACTCGAACAGCCGCTCAGGAACAAGCGGGACGTGACGTCCGGACAGTGTCTCTGCCCTCCAGGTAAGCACGCGGTCACCGTTTAGTTATTACCTATAATATGTAGTATATTATTATATTGTAGTAACGTCAATTATCATCGTTATTATTGTAACGACTGCGATGGCGGCGAGGTGCGTGTCCGGTATGCGACGCCGGCGCGACCTTGGCTGCCGCAGTCGTCCTGCAGTGGTTTACGATCGGTAGGTCACTTTTATTATTTAGGTACCACTTCGGTGTCGGTGTAGTGTGTCCCAAAAACTACTGCGCCGCGTGCACTGGGCAGCAGTCTCGGTGGCCAGTGTACACGTCATGATTATATTATCATCGGTGTCATTTGGGCTCATTTAGACATTTTTGGTTCAATAATCGTACGATTCAGTTGGGAATTATTGTAAGAAAGACTATCGCAAACTTCTTACATATTCGTTCACGATATTATATTATGTTATAATATAATAATATAATAATTAAACCTTAACCAGTAATTAACATATACGAATTGATGATAAGAAACAAACGTTTAAGTCTGCGACTATAACACAAAAATCCATTTTATGGCCAAAACGGACAAACGAATAATATTTATAACGATCCATCCACGAATAATATCATCTACCAAACACTATGGAGTACCTATCGGTTATTTCCTATAAGTACAACCAAATATTCATGTGTTGATCTTGATCGAAACGCGTGTAAGTTGAACACTGCAGGCCAGGCCCAAAATAGGTACTTCTTCCGCTGGATCGACTCTCGACTCCATCATGCATCCAAACAATAGAGTAAAATTATTGTTATCATTATCCGGTGGTGATTAACCGTATTATGAAATATATTATTATGACGCCACTCGATTGTCCGCGCGCGTCTTTTGGACGAGCGTGGAAAATATGACTTGCAATTATTTGTAACGTGTTTTATACACAGGTATATGGTATATGGTATACGGGTATAGGTGAGACAATATTGTACTAGCGTGCATCCGCTCCTTATAACCGTGTCGTGATTGTGATCTCTGCCGAGATTATTATTAATGTCTACCGCAGCGGCGTTGAAAATTCAAATATTAATTCAGGCGGCGCTGTGTGTAAATATTCGTTTGAATTTGGTGCGTAAACGATGATTTATAGAATCGCTAGACGATTGATTGATGAGACATTTGACTACGTATACTATAATAATATACAATATAGGCACAGGATTGTTGTATTTATGACATAATGATATTTTACGCTCTCTGTAATTATCGAAATCGCGTGTGATTACTATTATATTTAGTAACATTATCATTATATAGAGGTAGGTAGGCAACTGAAATGTCTCCCTTCACGGCCCACATGCCATTGTTTGATTTTGAATTATACGTTTTTTGTTTGTTTGGTTTTAATTTCTATTTTGCGGTCGACAGTAGTTTTTTTCACTCTAGTAAATAAATGTTCGACAATAAAACACGGAATCACTAGTAAAGATAATTTAACACTGCTGCAGGGTCACTGTATTAACGCTTTTTGGGCGTTGGGCGTTTTAATCTCGTTTCGTTCCGTTTTAATTAATTTTTATTCGTATATCTATTATCACGCGGAAAAATCTCATTTGTCGACCCGTCACACAGAACTTTCTTAATATGTAAACGCACATTTTGATATAATTTACTCACTGTTTGAACGAGAACATCGTTGTAGATATTTTTTAAGAGATATTAATTGTCATTATGGCATTTAATGTTCGAGTATTATATAGTTGAGTTTACAATTTATGAATAATAATCGTAGAAAATTATTTTTGCCGTGTCCTCGTTTAAAGATGAAGTTCTTATATGATAGGCATCTATTAGTGTTTTTTTACGATACGCGTTTATTTAGAGATAAATTAATTGGATGCTGCGATTAGGTACTATAATAATATGTAGGAAGCCGTGTGGTTTAGGAAATAATTTAGCCGTCCAACCAGTTTGTTATTTTTCCTAAACCTATATTATGCATGCGGTGTTTACATAGCAGTAATGATAATCACAAGTCCGCGTGACGAGTATAAACGTTTTCGTAAAAGCCCGTACGTCCAAAATACCTATAAAATAAACTATATTATATTTTATTACATATTATAGTGGTTTTTACGCGGTGTTGCCCTATTGGCAATAATAAATGTATATAGTAAAATCGACGTCCCGCACACGGTTTTTCGTATAATATATATAATAATAATAATAATAATATGTGAAAAGTATAAAACGGGATGCAAATCGGGGGAAAAGGGCCCACCAGGATTTTGGCAAACGCTCTGGGCGTGCATTTTGATTAATCGTCGTCGGAGTGTACCCCCTCCGATATACCGATCCACCCTCCACTCGACCACCGACCTGTATATGTTTTATGGCCCGTGAAAGACGTATCGGACAAAATCAAAACACGACCCCGCGGGTCCGACGCCACCGCCGCCACCACCACCGACGAACCCTTCGATTTTATCCCCTCAACTCCCCCCCCCCCCAATCGTGACGACGCATTATGCACCGAATAACGCGTTTATTATTGAATATTATAATAAATGATAATAATATATTATTATATTATTATTGCTGGTGCAGCAGAAACCGAGAGACAGACACTCCGCCGTATAGGTGCGTGTAAAATAATAATATGGGACCTAAATAAACACACAAACGTACCTTTGATATACTGCTCTCACCCGACCCGTATATAATTCATTATTGTCAATGTTGTTATTGTTGTTGTTGTTTGTTGTGTTATGATGGAAATCGATAAAAACCGGTGGGACAAAAAATGTCGAAACAAAATCCACTCGTAAAAACTTTAAACCACTCGTTCGCGACGATAGAGCGAGTACCATGCCGTTTATAACGACGGGTCGTGTGCTGCATATAGGCGTCATGATAGTCACCGGAGTTTGTCGTCAAACACACGCCGCATATGGGTGCACAAAACACACGGCCGAGAGACCATTTTTTTTTTTTTAATATACTCGACAATAGTGTACACAATATTATTACTATTATACACCGAACCCAACCGATCCCGTATAGGTTTTTTTGTGCCTCGATTGGGGCGAATGTATCTTTTTGTATTATTATCAAATTTTTTTTCTCTCATCCTCTCACTAAGCCCGTCCAACGCCCCTCGCCGTCCGAACACGCACCTATTATAAATATTCAGTACCTACCTATATAATAATAATAATACGATCGCCCTCCTCACCCCGTCGCCCATCCATGCCATCACCCCTCCTGTCATTCCTTCCGCGTTCGGGTGCCAATTATTATACAATGATATGAACGTACGTGTTGTACACACGACCATTTCGGTCAGATTAATCCGAAGAATAGCAAACCAATTTTTTCTCGGCCTACAAATAACCACTGTACCACACACAAAAAAAAATATCCTATAAAGATTATGATGTAGAAATAAGCCCGAAATCCAGCAGTGGAACTCGCAGCGTGAATTATATCGATCGGTTAAAAATCGATACCTTTAGCGGTTACCTATAAGTTTGTCAGCTGCATATAGGGAAAAATATTTGATTAGAACAATAGTTTTTTTATATCGACAAATGTATTAATACTTATTTATTGGTATGGCTATACCGCTCAATTTTTTTCATCTGGATTTTTTAATACTTGGTCTGACTTTAGCAATCAATAAACTATACAGCTTTTCTCTCTTAGATTTGCTCATCGCGCTCAATGTCCGAACAATATGCATGTAATATTATATACCCATCACATATTATTGTTATTATTACGTTATAACAATAATAATAATATGAACGTCCAATTGTTAGTCTCCTCCGTCACCCGCCGGCGCTCCTTCCGCACTCGAGTGCCAATTATTATACTATAATAATATGCTGTAATATGCACGTCAAACGTCTCTAGAAGAGCGCCCTACGTGATCCGGAAAACCCAATACTTACGCTTATATCATTATTATAATATATTATAGTTGCGAAATTGTGTTTCATCGTAAAACGTTTCGTTTCGACACGACGAGCTCGACGAGCCCTATTGTGTACATTATTATTTATTATACCTATTATATTATATTGTGTTATATTATTCGTATCGGCATGGCGGCGGGCGCCACACGTTAAGTCCGACCAGTTATAATCTTGACGATACGCCTTTATTACAAACGGCGCCGCCGCTGCCGGGAGGTGACAAAACCGCAACAGCTGGTCGCCGGGGCTACTGTGGCCGCGACATGCGTGTCGAATTTACAAAAATCCAACACGCAAATTGGCAAATCCATACACATTATGCAGCCAGCAGGGTCAAGTTTCGCGTGTCATCCGCGTGCATTTTGCTTGCCGTCCACGACGATTCCGGTTGTATTGTTGTACCTATACTTGTGTATTTTTGTATTGTATTCACGCACAGGTTTGAAAAAAAATCGATAGCACAATATAGGATAGGTACCCCGCGCCTGATTTATTATGATATTACTATAATTATTACTGTTGTATAATATACTATAATAGCAATAACATCGCTATAGAACAATATAAACTCCAATATTACAGACTACCTACTCTATTATAGACCCGAGTTAAAATATTAAACTCGGACGCTGGTGAGACCGTCATTGCTGCCGGAAATCGGGGGGAGGGGCAGACGCTCTCCAACTAATTCCCTAGCCTCCCTCAAAACTTGCCTTGATATTATTTTATATAGAAAGTAATATTGGAACGTTTTGTAATTATTTAAAATATTGATACATTTAATTTATGCTAATTTACGAGCATCGATATACTCCAAAATTGTTTTTGTTCAACCGAAATTCCATGTCCATGGATTCAGGTGAGTTTCCCTGGCACCACAATGTTTAAAAATCCACATTTTTCCTTCACCGTTAATTGTACCATAATTTGTACCAATTTGTACCACTAATTTCATAATTTGTACCAAAAGATTTCCCTGAGAAAAACCAATTTCCCTTACGGGTGCCAGGAAAACGTTTCCCCAGCACCCGAAAACCCACCAAATGAGTTTTCCCACATTTTTCTTGCGCCGTTAATTGTACCATAA